TATATATATATATATATATATATATATATATATACGTTGTCGCATTATGGTGCGAGTTATTGATCGAATATATTTAGCGTATACAGTGGAACGAGTCAACGATAATCTCGACGTGTTGGTAAGTAGGTAAAAAAAAAAAAACCTAGACGATTTAACATTTGTGGAAAGAAGATCGATTGGTAATATGAGAAATAGAGAAAAGCGGGTTATCGACCGATACGTCGTTTCTTTCTTTTTTTTGCTCTCCTGTTCCCTCTTTGTGTACACGTTTGTCTTCGTAGTCGCTGCACGACAGCGAGATGCACGGAAGGAGCTGGTATCAAGACGGGGATGAAATAGTGATCTTGGCGGAGGGTGAGGAGGTCCTTCGAATTCCTCTAGACAAGAAGGGTGAAACTAACTGGAGCTGGCTCAAGGTTTTCAGCCATCATCCCCATTACATAATTTTCCCGACAATTTTGACAAAACTTGTCTAAGAAAGGACGAACTAATCCCTACCCTTCTGTTTTCTACAATTTTAGGATCTTATCTTTGATAAGTTTTTTCCTCTCCACTGGTCTGCACTGGTACACGTAGAAAAAAAAAAAAAATCTGAAAGATAAAGGTGAACGAAAGAAATTGTGGAAACAGAAATTTCTATTACTAATCCGTTACGTTATTACACGTTTATTATATATATCAGGAAAAAAAAATTCGAGGACAAGCGGATACGTACAAACCGACGCGACGAAACTGATGACTGACGTTTTCTAATTAATATTCTCGCGTACAGATTGCTAGTTTAGAGCTAATGCTGCACTTGAATTCGTATTCTCGAGTATTGCTCGAACGTATCGTATCGTGTCGTAGATATTCACATTCATATTTATTCATTAACCAATCGTCGATTAACCAAAGATTAATTTCACTCGAATGTTAATCGTTAACGATAAGAGATTGTTATTTGATTCACAATGCATGAGTAGACGTATATCTATCTTTTGTCTCGAATAAAATCGCATTCTTGTACGATATTAATATCGAAACTGAATGTGTAACGCATGTGTAACCGGCAAGCATTATCTCTAAATGTTTACTTAAAAAAAAAAAAAAAAAAAAAAACGTAAGTTTCAAATGTTGTAAGGCGGAAGGCTCTGATACGCGATGTCGATTTGGAAAAAAAAAAACGAAGCATCTTTTTTCTAAAAAAAATATTTGGATTCGTGATCAGGGTCGTCCGCGATACACTCGACATGCGATGTAAAGAGTGGGATTAACGTGTACGTGTGTGTGTGTACCGGGCATGTAGGACGTCTTCGACATTCAGCGCAGGCCAAGTTTGCAGGAGCTAATCGTCGACTGGCCGATATTAACGACGAGGGTCAAGCAGAAGGTTCGCGAAAACTGTTTACTCCAACACTTTTTCTCCAATCCATTCGCCGCTCCCTCGATTCTACTTTAATCCCTTGGGCGATGCTTTCTCGATAACGAGAACCAACGAATTCCGCGTTTCCTCAGCGCACTCTCACGTGCCAATCGAGAAATATAAACGCAGCGTTGTCACGTTGGTGAAACTTGGCATCGCTTCCCCAAAGGATTAAAAGCTTCGAAGAAGAGAATATAAACGCCTGTACTATACACCCTGCAAAGCTTCAACGAATACGACTTCAACTTTCTGAAAAAAAGACAGAGAGACATCCGTTGAAAGAACAACTGAAAACCGAGAGATTTTTCTGATTTTCTTCTTTTTTTTCTTTTTTTTTTTACGATCGCGAGATTTTTCCTCGTCGCGTTTTTTTCTTCTTCTTTTAGCTTCTTTGCTTCGCACGGACGATGAAATTCTCGCGATCCAAAATCTTTCTAAATCTTAATAAGTAATAAATCCTGCTTTGGCCTGCGCTTCCTTCTTTTCTATAGGAAATTCGCGTTACTTTAAACCACTCGTATTAATACGACTAATATAATTCGTCTCCATCGATTATATTTTTCGCTCGTTATATAGAAAAAAGTATATACACACAGTGTATCCGATTAGAGAAGCAAAGAGTTTTGTGTTTCTTGCGCTTGAGATTTGCCTGCCATCAGCCTCAACGTGTAAAAAAAAAAAAAAAAAAAAAAAAGAATATGCATAATACCCGTGTAGCGAATCAGACCTGTGATCGTCGATGATTTTTGTTGTTTTATAGAATAGTGGATCTCGTAGACCCTCCCTCGCCGAATTAATTCCCGACTGGCCGACCCTGCACCATTTCACCAAGACGGAGGTTGGGATCGTATTCCTCGGCATCTTGAAACACAGTTTCAAACGATCGACCAGCGACCTCGCGTGATATCGATCTCTTTCTCTTTATATTCCTTCCTTTCTCTCTCTCTCTCTCTCTATTTTTTTCTCTCTCTTTCTTTTTCTCTCTTATCGGTTATGCGATTCACCTTTCTCTGTACGTGCAATCGTTTCTTCACCGAAGTGTGAATTATTCACGAGTCTTTTTTCTTTCATTCTCTTCTCTCCTCCTGTACGCACTCTTATCTTCTTCGTTCTTCCTTCTTCTCGTATCTCTCTACGTTCGTACGGATTGTTCTTCACCATAATTCTTTCTCTCTCTCTCTCTCTCTTTCTCTTTCTTTCTCCTTGATACATATATATATATCTTGCGTCCAATCTGTTTTTTTTTTGTACGACGAACGAATTTTTCTTTTTTGCGTTGCGTTTAATTTTTCTTTTTTAAATATAGAATTTTCCACCTAGCTATCGCCTCTCGGGAGAACGCTTCTTCGTCCTCGGCGACGACGACAACAACAACAACGAAATATTTTTATTTTATTCATTTTTCCACAGATTTTTTTTTTTTTTTTTCCCTCGCGAGAGATTTCTCGCGAGATGATTTGTGATTTGTGGCGCCTTCTTTTTTTTTTTTTCCAAACATTGTTTTGACTCTGTTTCATCTTCCTTGTATGGCCAGCAACGTTGGCGTTATTGTTCTTAGATCTGAATGGCCAGGTGTTCGTCGGCGAGAGATGAACGATTAACAGATACGCTTGTCGTGTTTCACAGAAGCCGGAAAGTTTCCTGAAACCGCTGGTGGATCAATATGCCAAAGAGGGCAAAGACAAAAAGGTCGTGTTCGAGGCGAATTTCTCGAAACCGAATTGCAAACCGAAATGGTTCTTCCGAAAGGACGTAAGTTCATCTTTTCTATTCTTTTAATAATTCCTTTATTTTTATCCTATCCTCTCAAACCTTTTTCCTCCTAAAACAGGAACTGTTCCCTTCGTCGAAATACAAGTTCAAGAACGAGGAAGATTGCTACCAGCTCATCATCCTGAACCCCAAGGTCGAGGACACGGGAAAATACACGATCGAAATCTCGGGCGTCTCGAGTACCGCCTTCCTCAACGTCGAAGGTTAGTATGATTTGTTCGGATCGGTCGAGAATTTAGAATCACGATATTCGTTGCATTCGACAGAACCGGATCCAACTTACACGTTCACCAAACCGCTCTCGAAGAAGACGAGCGGTTACACGAAGCACGAGGTCTACATGGAATGCACCGTCAGCTCGAATCTAGCTCAAGTCACGTGGTACAAGGGAAAGACCAAACTCGAGGTAAAAATTCTATTATGAATCAATTTTCGTAAGACATCTATATATATATATCTGTTTGCATAACTTTTCAGGATGGCGATACGTACAGCATATCGAAGGATATGAACGGCGTTTGTCGTTTGACCATAAAGAGCGCTACCCTTGAAGATAGCGGCGAATACGTTTGCAAGATCAACAAGCAAACGGACAAAACTGAAACGGTTCTAACCGTAGTAGGTGGGTGTTCAATTATCCGAAGAGATGAAAATTCTAATTCTCATATAAAATTGGTGATAAAAATTCTCATACTGCTCGTTCCTCCCGCGCAGAATACCCGTACAAATTCGTGAAGGTGTTGAAATCGCAGCAACTCGTGGAGAAAGAAACGTTGACGCTGGTCTGCGAGTTGGACGATGCCGGTGGGGAAGTAAAATGGTTCAAAGGTGATCAAGAGATCGTACCTGACAAGAGGTGGGGGAGTTAATTTTCGCCTTTTCTGTGTTTTGTACATTTATCGAGGAAAAGTTTTTTTTTCTAATGGTGGAATAATAATTGGTGCAGGGTACAGATCAAAGAGGATGGCAGGAAGAGGAAGCTGATTATCAAAGACACCAAGGTTACGGATGCTGGCCAATACTCGTGCGTGAGCAATGCCGATAAGACCGAAGCTGAAATAGTTATAAACTGTGAGTGTTCATGTTAATGAGAAGAAAATTAGAAATTGGATATTAATCCAATTTGTTGGAGAGGTAAACTAGTTAAAAAATTTCGAATAAAGTTGGTTGGATAAGCTACTTCAATATTGCAAATAATTGGTAACGGTAATTTCAAAAGTGTTAGATTTTTCATTGAAAAGTAATAAGTGATATTTTCCTTTAGACGCGAATCGTTTCAACAAGAAGTTGAAGGACACGGTGGCGGTGGAGAGGGAAAAATTGGTGTTGGATGTGGAGCTCCAAGATCAAACGGCGCCCGCCATCTTCTTCTTTAACGGGAATCGAATCGAGCCTAACGAGAGAGTGGAGATCAAGAATTTGGGAGGTGGAAAGCATCAGTTGATCTTCAACAGGTTGGAGATGAGCGACGACGGTGAGATCAGTTGCGAGAGCGGACAGTTGAAGAGCAGTTGTAAACTCACCGTGAAGAAGGGCGAGAGCAAACCCATCGTTGAAATCCCTGACAAGGTCGAAGGACCTTGCAACACCCCTCTCGTATTCGTTGTACCTTACAAGAGTAAGTTCCTCTTCACTCTCTATGCTATTATAAATGCTGTAACCCAAGACGGAGAGACGACATTATTCGTATTATATATTTGATTTCTCTAAAATATCGTATAAATCTCCTCTTATAATTGATATAATTGAAGCAAATTAATCCTTTGCGCTCCAACGATGACACCACTTGCAGCAATTCGAACGGCGACAAATTATTTATTTAAGCTTGATTTTTCCATTTGATTTCAAATGGAGATGCGTTCGATTTTTCCTTATTATTGAATAACAAAGTTATATTTCTGTTCATTTGAAGAAATTGAAAGAATAGAAGGAAGGAAAATAGAGATGCAGCGAGACGAAAAATAAGAATGATAGACGGTGAATGTGAGATTAGTTTTTTTTTAAACAATGAAATTATTTCTATTCGTATTAAGAAATTGACAATGAGAGAGAAGTGTGATAATAAAATAGTGATAAAAAGTATGAGAATAATGAGGACAATAAACGAGAGTTTGACGAACCAAGGATGCTTAATTAATAATTACATTATTTCATTATAAAACAACATAGATTTTTTTATATATTAATTGGAATCATTTTAAGTCAGCTAGTAAGAGATTCATCAACGTGTGTGGGTTCGCCCGAGTGCAAAGGATCAATACATAAATCGGCAGTTAGTTAATTCATAATCGTGTAAGAAGTCCTCTTTCGCAGTCGAAGGGACGAAGCAGAGTCAGGTGGAAGCAAAACTGATGAAGGACGGCAAAGCATTGCCGTTGAAAGACGTGGAGATAGTAGTCGGCGAGGACAAGATCACGTTCAAGATCAAGAAGCCTTCTCGCGACCAATCCGGCGTTTATCAGGTGAAGATCGGCAACAATCAAGGGGAGGAAGTGAACGACGTGAACATCAACATGCAAGGTATTCAATTTTCCTTCAAACACCACCTTGCACCACCACGCCCAATCGTTGAAAATTCTTTCTCCTCAGACGTGCCGTCCCCGCCCAGAGACGTGGACGTAAACGAGATCTTCCAAGACTCCTGCGTGGTCTCTTTCAAACCTTCGAAAGACGACGGTGGATCGCCCATCACCAAGTACGTGGTCGAACGTCTCGACCTCAGCTTGAAGGCGCAGTGGGACAACGTGGGCGAAGTGACGGCCGGCGAGAAGTGCTCGTACAAGGTTCGAGATCTCGTTGCAAGGAAGGAGTACAAGTTCCGTATCCGGGCTGTGAACAAACTCGGCTCGAGCGAGCCCGCCATGTTTGGAAAACCGGTGCTCGCCAAAGATCCGTGGGGTAATAAATAAATAAAACCCTTCCTCTCGACCCCCTTTTACAATAATCTTCTACGAGCCTTTTACTTATCCTCCAAACTTGCACAGATGAGCCGGGTAAGCCGACGAACGTCGAGGTGACCGACTGGGACAAGGATCACGCCGACTTGAAGTGGACGAAGCCCGAGAACGACGGTGGTGCGGCCATCACGGGATACATAATCGAGTACAAGGAGAAGTTCGGGAAAGAATGGGTGAAGGGGAAGGAGATCGAAGGGGACGTGACCGAGGCGACGATAGACGGGCTGAAGGAGGGTAGCCAGTACGAGTTCAGGATCAGAGCCGTGAACAAAGCCGGCCCCGGCGAGCCGTCCGACGCCACGAAACCGATCATAGCCAAGTGCCGTTTCGTCAAGCCTTACATCGTGGGGGACGGGCTGACGAATCTGATCGTGAAGAAGGGGCAAATAATCAAGTACGACATCAAGTACGCCGGCGAACCTGAACCGGAGGTGCATTGGTTCCTCGGGGAGAAGGAGCTGGTCCAGGACACGGCTGAGAGGATCACGATCGATAAATACGAGAGGAACACGGTGCTCACCGTGAGGAAGACGACTAGGCCGGATTCCGGGAAGTACAAGCTGGTTCTGTCCAACAGCTCTGGGACTTGCGAGAGCCACGCTGACGTGATTGTCCTCGGTATAGAAAAACCTCTCTACTTTTGTAATTACATGATCGTTTCGCTTCTGGATCTCGATTCATGTCATGAATTATCGTATCGTCAGACAAACCTTCGAAGCCGACCGGCCCGTTGAAAGTGGAGGAGGTTCGGGCCGACCACGTGAAAGTCAAGTGGGAGAAGCCAGAGGATAACGGAGGGACCGAAATTACCGGCTACGTGTTGGAAAAGATGGACGTGGACACGGGTCGGTGGATCCCAGCGGGCGAGGTGGGGCCGGACGAGACCAGCTTCAACTTCACGGGGTTGACACCGAAGAAAAAGTACAAGTTCCGCGTGAAAGCCGTGAACAAGGAGGGCGAGTCCGAGCCGCTCGAAGTCGAGGAAGCGATTCTCGCCAGGAATCCTTATGGTATGATAACGATTGTCTTTTTTCTAATCCACTTCATCCTTACTTTCGCTCCTCCACAGACGAGCCTGACAAGCCTGGCAAACCCGTGATCTTCGACTACGACAACGTTAGCGTATCCCTCAAGTGGGAGAAGCCTGAGAACGACGGCGGTAGACCGATCACTCATTACACGGTGGAGATGAAGGACAAGTTCGCTGTCGACTGGGTGGAGGTAACGAAAACCACCGACGCCACTCCGGAGGCGAAGGTCGAAGGTCTGAAGGAGAGGATGGTTTACCAGTTCCGGGTTCGGGCTCATAACAAAGCGGGCCCCAGCCAGCCCAGCGAGCCCACCGACAATCATCTCTGCAAGCACAAGAATCGTAAGATCGTTCTCGACAACGTCGATGCGGCTATATTTATACGCGCTGAAATTCATCATCTTGATTGCCCCAACAACATTTCCCCTAATTGTGGAACATTTCTTCTATAAAGAAAGCAACGCAAGAAATGGAATTTCTCTTTTCGCGCAACAATTCAAAGCAGACCATTTCTTTTTACACAAAAGAATTAAAATATGGAATAAAAAATTATATATTTGTTTTACTTTATTGGTATATATATATATATACACTTGATTTGAACGATACTTTTTTATCGAACAACATTGATAAATAAATAAAAGTATTATACGCATGCTGTATGTATAAATAGAGCCTTTATAATTAATATATACACGTGTGATTGCATTCTCGATTTGAAATTTCAGTTAAACCGAGAATCGACAGGACGAATTTCAAGTCTGTGGTTATCAAGGCCGGGCGCACGCACAAGTGGTCGGTGGACATCACCGGGGAACCGCCACCGGAGGTTAAGTGGATTTGGAGGGACGACATACCTCTCACCACCACCGAACGTATCAAGATCGAGAACGTGGATTATCACACAGACTTCACGATCGTGAACGCGATGCGCAAAGACACCGGAAAGTATACCCTCGTCGCGGAGAACGTTAACGGGAAGGACGAGGAAACCGTGGAACTTACGGTTCTCGGTAAAAAAAATTGTCGACCACTTTTATCGATCCGTAACATCGAATGAACTATTTCGCGCATCTTTCAGGCAAGCCAGACGCGCCTAAAGGCCCGTTGGAGGTGACGGATGTTACCGCCACCTCGGCCAAGGTGAAGTGGGAGAAGCCGGAAGACGACGGTGGTGTCCCGATCAAAGAGTACGAGATCGAGAGGTTGGACACGAAAACTGGCAAGTGGGTGAGGGTGGGAAAAGTTCCGGGCACTGCGCCGCTCACAGAGTTCGAGGTGACGGGATTGAACCCGGGAAGCGAATACAAATTCCGCGTTACCGCGGTCAACGACGAAGGCGATTCCGAGCCGCTGGAGAGCGAGCGCGGAATCATCGCCAGAAACCCGTACGGTAAGAACCGTTCTCTTGATGCTGTCTCATCAAGCGATCCACTAATTTCCCTCTACTTTCTTTTAGACGAGCCGCATAAACCTGGAACACCCGAGATAACCGACTACGACAACGAGTCCGTAAGTTTGAAATGGACTCCTCCCGATTTCGACGGTGGTGCACCGATCGAGAAGTATATAATAGAGAAGAAGGATCGTTACAAACCGGATTGGGAGAAAGCTGGAGAGGTAGCTGGAGATCAATTGGAGGCCAAGGTGGGGGGATTGAAGGAACGTGGGGAATATCAGTTCAGGATCATAGCCGTGAATAAAGCGGGCCCATCTCCTCCGTCAGACGCTTCGAAGATGCAGATATGCAAGCACAAGGCGCGTGAGTGTAGCCTGTATTTCCTTCTCTACTCGTCGTAATTATTCCCTCCTTACCTTCTTTTATCTTTTATCCCAAAGTGAAACCAAAGATCGATCGTACGAACTTGAAGCCTGTCACGGTCCGTGCTGGCAAGCCGATCAAGTACGACGTGGATGTTCGTGGTGAACCGGCTCCGGAGATCACCTGGTATCACGCGAACCAGGCGGTTCAAAGTGGCGGGAATATCGAAATTGTAAGCGTCGATTACAACACGAAGCTGAACATTACCGACTGCGTGCGAAAAAATACCGGGGTGTGGAAGATAAAAGCTGTTAATCCTCACGGTGAGGACGAGGCTGAGGTCGAGGTTACGATACTCTGTAAGTCGTCGAATCGCGATACAAAATCAACCCTTATTACTCCCTTCATCCATTAATTCATCCATAAATGTTACAACAACAGCTGCCCCTGGCAAGCCGAAGGGCCCTTTGAAAGTGAGCGACGTTACGAAGAACGGTTTGAAATTGAAGTGGGAAAAGCCGGAAGACGATGGCGGCCTACCCATTACCAGTTATCAAATTGAGAAACTGGACAAAGCGACGGGAAGATGGGTGCCTGTCGGCCGCGCCGGACCCTCGGACACCGAGATGGACGTAAAAGGTCTTCAAGAGGGACACGAGTACGAGTTCAGGGTGAAGGCGATCAACGAAGAAGGGGAGTCCGAGCCATTGGTCACGGACAGCTCGACCATTGCGAAGAATCCTTATGGTGAGAGAGACGCGTTTTGTTGTTTTTAAAACAAAAATATTTCTATACCAAGAAAGTTTCCACTTGTGCGATCCTCAGACGTAGCGAGCAAGCCCGGTGTGCCGGAATTCGAGGATTGGGACGTGGATCGTGTCGATTTAAAATGGGAACCGCCGAAGAGTACAGGTGGCGCACCTATCACGGGCTACGTAATCGAAATGAAGGAGAAGCCGTCGCCTAATTGGCAAGAGGCAACTGTAACCGACTCGCCCCAACCGAAAGGGCGTGTCACGGGATTGAAGAAAGGTTCCGTGTACCAATTCCGCGTTCGTGCGGTTAACAAAGCTGGACAATCGGAACCGAGCGATCCAACCAAGCCGCACGTGGCAAAGGCGCGACATCGTAAGTGTTTATTGCTGGAACGCGAAGAATTCTTGGAAGAAAACGCCGAGCGAGCTAAGCCTCGTTGCATCAGCATAAAAAAAGCATAAAGCTCAAAGAATTTCTCATAACTATAATTACGATTTGTAACAACAGTTTGATTTGTAAATGTAATTTCGATTCGTTATAGTTTACGTAGACGTAAAACAACGTCAAAATAATTAATAATTTGACAAAAATATTTCAGCTTAAATGATTATTCTAACGTGACTTAACGTGAAATGAAAAATAATCTCTACACTATTGGTGTTAAGTGTTATGAAATAAAGTTAAGTCTCAACAAAGAGGTCTTGACAAAAGATTAATTAAGAGGAGGCACCGTCTATTCTTCGAACACTTGTTTCTTGACGCTACACACACTGTATTAGGTAGTAAAAGAGTTATTAATTGAACGCTCAAAGTCGTAAAAATTATATTATATGAAGATTTCTATTTCATGATCTATATGTCTACCTTATTTTGTATACGTACAATTTTTATTTTATTTCGAATATAAAATAAATTAAACCAACAAATCGTAATTTATGAGACACACATTATGAGAAATAATGTCAAATTTTAGATCACGTTTTAAATTCTCTAATGGATTGTGGATCATTGTGGATCTCTCTGAATATACCATCTACATTTTTCATTTTCCAGTGAAACCGCACATAAATCGCGACAAGCTGAAAACGATTAAAGTGAGGGCTGGTCAAATGGTGAAACTGGAAGTTGACATCGAAGGTGAACCACCGCCAACCGTCACCTGGAACTTTGGAGGCGCGCTCCTCCAAACAAGTGCCAACGTGAAAATCGATAACGAGGATTATCTGAGCAAAATTCATTTGACCCAGACCAGCCGCAAGCTGAGCGGCAAATACACCGTCAAAGCTGTGAACGATTCTGGACAGGACGAGGCAGACGTGGAGATCATCATTCAAGACAAGCCTGGGAAGCCGGAGGGTCCTCTGGAAGTGACGGACGTACACAAGGAAGGATGCAAATTGAAGTGGAACAAGCCCAGGGACGATGGCGGTTTACCGTTGTCCGGCTATCTGGTCGAGAAGATGGATGTCACGACCGGCCGTTGGGTACCGGTTGGCATAGTCGATCCAGACAAAACGGAACAGACTATCACTGGTTTGGAACCTGGAAAGCGATACGAATTCCGTGTGAAAGCCGTAAACGAGGAGGGAGAATCTGAACCTCTGCAGACGGATGTTCCTATCGTCGCTAAGAATCCTTATGGTACTGGTGAAAAGAAGTCTTGCTCCACTTCGATTCCGCTTTATTATACGTAACAAATATATGCTGGAAACGAATCGCACGTTCTTTGAGACTTCCTTTTCAACGATACATATATATATATATACGTTATACACTCGTTTTCATTGGTAACTAATGCGAACTCGAAATTTCAGATCCTCCTTCGGCGCCTGGTCTGCCAGAAATCATCGACTGGGCCGAGAACATGGTGAAGTTGAAGTGGGAGCCACCGATACGGGACGGTGGTGCACCCATCACAGGCTACATAATCGAAATGAAGGACAAGTTTGGTACCACGTTCGTGAAGGCTGCCGAGGTGGAGGGGCGGGTGTGTACGGGAACAGTGACACGATTGGAGGAGGGAAATCAATATCAGTTCAGAGTTCGAGCTGTGAACAAAGCGGGTCCAGGAGAGCCCAGCGAGGCTACCAATCCTCACACTGCCAAGGCCCGTTGGCGTGAGTAGTTAATATAACGATTTCTTGGGAAAATTGGATTTTACGTTCGTTGATTTTTTCGGTTACAGTGAAACCGTTCATCGACCGGACCAATTTGCAACCGATAACCGTGAAAGTCGGTCTCACCGTCACTTTGGACGTGAACGTCATTGGTGAACCGCCACCAACCGTCACCTGGTTCTTCCGAGACAAGGAGATCGTGTCGGACGACACGATACGCGTCGACAATATCGACTACAACAGCAAGTTTTTCATTTTGAAGACTAGACGAGCGCACACGGGAAAATACGTGATCAAAGCGAGGAACGAGGTGGGCGAGGACAGTGCCGATGTCGAGATAATCGTCATCGGTAAACCGAGCAAGCCAAAGGTACGAGATCTTGAATTTGATCATTTAGCTTAAAATACAAAAATTTTAAATAATGTTACGAACACACAAATGTTAATATTTTTGATTTGAATCCTCCTGTGGATGTAGGAAGAAAGATTTGTGGCAGACAAGAATTTGAGAAAATTGTAGAATAAACGTTGGATTACGAGAATTGGAAATGATGTTGTAAAGAAGAAATGCTTATTAAAAGAACAAGTTATGGGATATATTTGCTACGGTTCCTAACAATGCTATAAATTATTCAATAGATATAGGCCTAAACGATAATAATTTAACGAAAGAAAGGAATAAGAAAATTGTCAAGTAACAAAGTTAGAAATATTATTATTGCTTATTTTTCTAAGATATAATAAATAAACAATGATAGAAATGCATATATTATAATGTAAGCTAGCTTAAAATTGATAAATATTAATTTTAATATAGGTTTGCGAATCAAATATAGCAAAAATATTGAAAAAAGTAAAAAGTTTCCACTTTTCATCGTATATAGAGAATCATTGAGAAATCATTACATTAATGAATTTCTAATACTTAAGTAATTACTTAAATTTAAGTTCAATTCACAAAATTTCTCGTGAAATATTTCTCAACCATCGCATCAATTGTCTGCACTATACACTTTGTTCAATCTGTAAAATCTGTTTGAAAGAAAGGATTTAAAATTTTATTTAATCTAATACGGTATTATTACGGAAACGATTATTTCTCATACATTTGAGAATTTTATCCAATTAATGTACGCTACTGATAATAAAATTATTAAATCGCAGGGTCCTCTGGAAATATCCGACGTGAACAAGCACGGTTGCAAGTTGAAATGGGAGAAGCCCGATGACGACGGTGGTGTACCGGTCGAGTACTACGAGATCGAAAAGTTGGATCCTCTGACAGGCCAATGGATACCTTGCGCGAAATCCGTGGAGCCGGAAGTGACGGTGACTGGTCTTCAGGAAGGGAAACCGTACAAATTCCGCGTGAAGGCTGTGAATCGAGAGGGCGAATCGGACGATTTGGAAGCGGACAAATCCATCATTGCGAAGAATCCGTTCGACGAGCCTGGAAAACCGGGCCGGCCCGAAATCAAAAACTGGGACAAAGACTTCGTCGATCTCGAATGGACCCCGCCCAAGGACGACGGTGGCGCCCCGATCGAAAAGTACATCGTGCAGATGAGGGACAAGGAAGGCCGCCAATGGATAGACGTGGCGAAAGTTCTTGGGGATCGCACCACAGCCAAGGTCACCGATGGTATCGAGGAAGGTCACGAGTACGAGTTCAGAATAGTTGCCGTGAACAGAGCCGGTCCTGGAGAGCCGAGCGACACCTCGAAAAGCGTTGTGGCCAAACCACGATTTTGTAAGAATATATATATATATATACACACACACACATATACGTTCGCGAGATTTGCTCACAAAGCAAACTGCTTTTTCTGTTATTATCACTCTCAGACTTTTATTAAAAATCTAAGCAAAGAATGAACTGTTATCTGAGAAGATTCGTTTTTGAGACACTTCAGTTCATTGATTGGGCAAAATTTAATAGTTGAATCAATTACTTGTAGTAAAGTTACTTGGATAAGTTTTGCAAGTAATTACAATGGGCGAGAGGTTATATGAGATATGAGAAACAAGGCGACTATAATATATTCGAGCATTTTAATAGTAATCAAGTTAAATATCTATTAAATCTAAACAAAAGATGATGTTATCTGAGAAGATAAGAGAACTGTCGTTTTTTTAGTCGACACTCATAATTGTATATTTTTGACATTGACTCGTCGATGGGCAAAATTTAATAGTTTTACGAATAAAGTTAATTTTGAATAATAATTGCAAATAATTGTAAAGGCAAGAGGTTATATGAGTAGCGGTCCCACCATAATATAAATGATTAAATATTACTTAAGCATTTTAATAAGTAATTAATTAAAGTAACTTCGTTCGAAATTTTTAACTAGTTACTTTTTCACCGAGTTAACGCCCAATTCTGGCGTTAACATATTGTATCGCACTCTCTTTATCTATATCTATTTTCTTCTTTCTTTTGTATAGTGGCGCCCCGCATCGACCGAAAAAATCTACAAAAGAAGGTTATGCGAGTTGGCCAATTGTTGCGAATCGAGGCGGATGTACAGGGTGAACCGCCGCCGCTCGTTACTTGGAAGCTGAAGGACGCCGTGCTGAAGAGCATGGATCGTCTCAAGATCGAGAACGAAGATTATCACACCACCTTTGTCATAAGTAAATTGCAGAGATCCGATACCGGCACTTACACGGTTGTCGCCAAGAACGACAGCGGTACCGACCAAGTGGACGTTGAGATCCTGGTATGATGATTATGATCGCGATTAAATATTTACGTACAAAAGAACTAAAAATCCTTTATCCTTTCAGGTGGTGAGTAAACCTAGCAAACCGAAGGGGCCGCTCGAAGTGTCGGACGTAACCGCGGAAGGATGCAAGCTGAAATGGGACAAACCAGACGACGATGGCGGGGAGCCAGTCGATCACTACGTAATCGAGAGGATGGACGTTGACACAGGAAGATGGGTACCTTGTGCGACTAGCAAAACACCGGAAGCTGACGTTACCGGCCTCAACGAAGGCAAGGACTACATGTTCCGGGTGAAGGCTGTCAATTCCGAAGGCGAATCCGAACCTTTGGAAACGGCGATCCCAACCACGGCAAAGAATCCTTACAGTAAGCGCGTTTCATTTTCTTTCGAAACCTGGTAAAAGGGAAAATTTTAATAATTTTCCTTCGATCGTCAGCCGAGCCAGACGCTCCTGGCAAGCCGGATCTCAAGGATTGGTCGAAGCAACACGTCGACCTGAAATGGAAAGCGCCGAAGAAAGATGGGGGGGCGCCGATAGAGAAGTACATAATCGAGAAGAAGGATCAATACGGGAAATGGCAGAAGGCGGCCGAGGTACCTGGAAATAAAACGGAGGGTAGGGTGGAGGGATTGATCGAGGGGCAAAAGTATCAGTTCCGCGTGAAGGCCGTGAACAAAGGCGGTCAGAGTAAACCGAGCGAGCCCAGCGACAGCCTGGTCGCCAAGGATCGTTACGCCGCGCCCAAGATCGATCGCACGAATTTGAAGGATCTGACGATCAAGGCCGGGACCAATATTCGATTGGACGTGAAGGTTACCGGCGAGCCGCCTCCAACGAAAACGTGGTATCTGAACAAAGCGAAGCAGGATTCGGGCGGCGTGTTGACCATCGAGTTGGAGGATTACAGAACCAAATTCTTGGTGTCGTCCGCATCGAGAGCTCATTGCGGTACGTTGACGCTGAAGGCGGAGAACAGTTCCGGAAAGGACGAGGCCTCGATCGAGGTTCTGGTGTTGGACAAGCCCGGTAAACCGGAAGGACCTCTCAAAGTGTCAGATGTGCACAAAGAGGGATGCACGTTGAAGTGGAATCCGCCGTTGGACGACGGTGGCGTGCCACTCGATCACTACGTGGTGGAAAAGATGGATACGGAAACCGGAAGGTGGATACCGGTTGGACGCACCAAAGAACCGAGCATGGTCGTGGAAAATCTGGTGCCAGGTCAAGAGTACAAGTTCCGAGTCTCGGCTGTGAACGCGGAGGGTGAATCGGAACCTTTGGAAACGGATCATGGAATCGTAGCTAAGAATCCATTTGGTTAGCGTTCAATTTTTCTTTCTCTTAAATATATCTGATAGAAAAATATTAATAATAATAATAATAATAATAATAATATGATGATGATGATGATGATGAATCGTTTCGTTTCATTAGACGAACCAGGTCCACCTGGTCGACCAGAGGCAACCGATTGGGACAAGGATCATATAGACCTAAGATGGACTCCACCTTGAACGATGGTGGATCTCCAATCACTGGATACATAATCGAAAAGCGCGAGAAAGACGGCCCACGATGGATAAAGGCGTGCGAAACCGGACCTGAATGCAAGGGACGAGTCGATAATCTCGACGAGGGTGTCGAATACGAGTTCCGTGTGAAAGCTGTTAACATAGCTGGACCCGGTGAACCATCCGACACCAGTAAACCGATCACGGCCAAAAGCCGACGATGTAAGAACATTTTTTTTTTTCTGATGGTTTTTGAAGCCCGATCGTATCTTTTATATTTTTGTAAAATGACTTTTCAACATTTGTTTCTATCTGTTGCCTATCGCGTATCTGAATTTACGTCTCTCTTTTTATATTTTCGAAAATAATTTTTCCAATCGAAACATTTCCATTGTGCAATATCGTGTCCGAGAATTTTCAAGTTTAATTAATGTTCGATACATACTTTTGAAAATAATCCCTCTCAATCGATAGATCGATTTCTCTATCCTAACCTTTCAACGTGACTCCATCGTTTTCCGACAGTGGCGCCAAAGATCGATAGGAAGAACTTGCGTGATATCACGGTACGCGAGAACGAAGGATTCCACTTCGACGTGAAGATAATCGGAGAACCACCGCCTGACGTCACTTGGGTAATCAACAACAAGAGTATCCAACAAACGACGTACCGCAGGATACAAAATGTCCCGTACAACAGCAAATTTTTCAACGATAAACCGGAACGAAAGGACAGTGGCATTTATAAGATTACGGCTGTGAACCAGTATGGATCCGATACCGCCGAAGTGGAAGTCACCGTTGTCTGTAAGTAGTGTTCGTCTGTTCGTTTCAAGAGAAATTTCTCGTCGTGAAAAATAACGATCGACTCGATTGTTTCGTAGCTAAACCTGCAAAACCCGAAGGACCGCTCGAAGTGTCCGATATCCACGCAGAGGGATGCACTTTGAAATGGAAGAAACCGAAGGACGACGGTGGAGAACCCATCGAGGGTTACCTAGTGGAGAAGTTCGATCCGGATACGGGTGTTTGGTTACCAGTCGGTAAGACGACAGGCCCGGAAATGAAGGTGGAAGGATTGACACCTGGACACGAATACAAGTTCAGAGTGAAAGCGCTTAACAAAGAAGGAGAGTCGGAACCGTTGGAGACGTACAGCTCGATCGTGGCCAAAGATCCATTTAGTAAGTGTATATATATATATATATATTTATTTATTTATTTATTTATGTATATATATTTATTTATTTATATAATTTATTTAGCCGTACCAAGTCCTCCTGGTGCACCTGAACCGATCGATTGGACCGCCAATCAGGTCGAGTTGTCTTGGAAGGAGCCGGTGAGCGATGGCGGATCACCCATCACTGGATACATCATCGAGAAGAAGGACAAGTACAGTACGATGTGGGAAAAGGCTTTGGAAATCGAGACACCTACCACGAAAGGTCTGGTTCACGGCCTTATCGAGGGTAACGAGTACTTGTTCCGTGTGATAGCCGTGAACAAAGCTGGTCAATCGGAGCCTGGCGATACGAGCAAAACGTTCACCGCTAAACCACGATACCGTAAGTAACTTTTTCGTTCCGTTATTGTATAATAAGCAAAACGCTTCGTGGCGTCGATCCAATTTATTCGCTTACCGCATTGTATCTCTGACATAAGCGTATATCCTTGTCGCAAATATAGTTCCATACATAGTTTGCGAACGGATAGCAGATAAAAAAATACCGTTTGTACACCCAACGCTCTATAAATAATGATTGGTGAATTCGATTTTTGGCACTTATCGAACGATCGACTCACGTATAAATTTGTATCGATCGACAGTGGCACCCAAGATCGATCGGCGCAATCTGCGGGATGTTACGTTGTCGGCCGGCTCGTTGCTGAGATTCGACGTTAACGTTATCGGTGAACCTCCGCCGCACATCGAGTGGCGATACGGCGCTATTCCCCTGCACTCCGACAGAAAGGTGCAGATCGACAATTCCGAGTACAACACCAAGTTCAGCATTCGTCCCGTGGCTCGAGACGACAGCGGCGATTACACGATCACGGCAACTAACTCGTCGGGAAGGGATTCCGTCACGGTGCAAGTCACGGTTACGGACAAACCGATGCCGCCAGAGGGTCCGCTTCAAGTTTCGGACGTGCACAAAGAGGGATGCAAATTGAAATGGAAGAGGCCGAAGGACGATGGTGGTACACCGATCGAATATTATCAGGTGGAGAAAATGGATCCCGAAACTGGTTGCTGGGTACCTTGCGGTCGATCTACCGAGCCTAGTAAGTTCTCTTTCTTTTTTCCCTAGATAAACAAAAATTTTCCCTAGAAGAGTAAAAATATCTATTTCTTGTTTTTTTTTTTTTTTTTTTTTCCGTTAGATCTGGAAGTATCCGGATTAACACCGGGCAAAGAATATCTGTTCCGGGTTACGGCGGTGAATGCCGAAGGAGAATCGAAACCTTTAGAAGCGGAACAAGCTATCTTAGCCAAGAATCCGTTTGGTGAGTGAATTGTACGAATCCCGTAATCACTCGTTCTGAACGTGGTGAACGAAAATTAAAATTCTGTTGGTTTTGAAAATTGTTTTAGACGAACCAGGCAAACCGGGCGATCTTCGCGCCACCGATTGGGACAAAGACCATGTTGATCTCGCTTGGTCTCCACCAATAAGCGACGGTGGCTCACCCATCACAGGCTACATAATTGAGAAGAAAGACAAATACGGGGAGTGGGAGAAGGCTGTAGAAGTGCCGGCGTATGAAACGTCGGCCACCGTTCCCGACTTAATCGAAGGCCAACCTTACGAATTCCGCGTTCGAGCCGTAAACAAAGCTGGCCCTGGCGAGCCTTCCGATCCAACGCCAACGATCATTGCCAAACCGCGAAACCAGGCGCCCAAGATCGATCGTACGAATTTGATAGAGGTTAGAATCAAGGCTGGCCAAAATTTCAGCTTCGACGTGAAGGTTTCCGGTGAACCTCCACCAACCACGAAATGGATGTTGGGCAAACGAGAAGTTCGGCCTACCGAGCGTATCAAAGTGAAACACGTCGATTACAACACGAGCTTGAGCGTCAGGATGGCTACAAGAGCCGAATCGGGCAAGTACAGCATAATCGCCGAGAATATAAACGGCGTGGACGAGGCGTTCGTGAAGGTGACGGTTCTGGACGTGCCAAGTCCGCCTCAAGGACCGCTCAGAGCATCGGACGTGCACGCCGAAGGATGCACCTTGACGTGGAAACCGCCGGAAGACGACGGTGGTCAACCGATCGATAAATACGTCGTGGAGAAAATGGACGAAGTGACTGGTCGTTGGGTACCAGCAGGAGAAACGGATGGTCCGCAAACTTCTTTGCAAGTGGAGGGATTGACTCCTGGTCACAAGTATAAATTCCGTGTTCGGGCTGTAAACAAACAGGGTAAATCGGAACCGTTGGCAGCGATGCAAAGCATCGAGGCGAAGAATCCTTTCGGTGAGTCAATTTTTTTCATGTCTTGTACACACTTACGATGATCTTTCCTATTAGATTAATGGATCGATGGTGTTTTCCAGACGAACCTGGAAAACCTGGCACACCTGTGGTCAGCGACTACGACTCGGACTTTGTCGAGCTTCAATGGGATCGTCCACAGGAAGACGGTGGCTCGCCCATTACTGGTTATATAATCGAGAAACGGGACAAATATAATCCGAACTGGGAGAAATGCGCCGAGGTTGAGGGTGACGTGAATCGTGGAAAAGTGAACGATCTGGTGGAGGGTATACACTACGAATTCCGTGTTAGAGCGGTTAACAAAGCCGGACCTGGTGAGCCGTCCGATGCTTCCAAATCTCACTTGGCTCGACCCAAGAATCGTAATTATCTCTTCTTTTTTATATACCTATTTCTTTCTATCTACTGTTCACCGTTCACTGGAAAGAAGTCACGCGAATCTGATTGGTTAATTTGGAAGGAAACGCCTACATTAGCGTTTGGCATCATAGATATCTAAAGAATTCTATCGATATGATACAAAGAATTTTTTTTATCTCTCATACGTATAGGCTAATTACGATTTGTAACGATAGCTTAATCTATAAATATAATTATTCGATTAATATTCAAATGAATATTCAAATTATATTTTTTTTTTTTTACTACTACATAATGTGTGGTGTGTCAGGATTGCCAACAAAATGTGTGAAGTGGGGATAGGCGGTCCTAGCGAAGGATCTCCCCTTGCCCCTATACAGTCCCGCGAAACTTTTTTCCACCAGCGAATAGCACATACGTACACGTATAAAAAATTAACATTTCGTTTTCAGTTCCACCAAAGATCGACAGAAAATACATGTTGGACGTAAAAGTTAAAGCCGGTGGTTTCTACGACTTCGACGTTCCCGTTATCGGCGAACCACCACCGACCAAAGAATGGTCGCTAAAGGGTACGGTACTTTTGTCCAATGACCGTATCAAGATCGTGAACGAAGATTACAACACGAAAGTTCGCGTGATGGAGGCAAGACGTTCCGATTCCGGCGTGTACACTCTGGAAGCGAAGAACATCAACGGCAGAGACAGCGCCACCTTGACTGTGAACGTGCTCGATGTGCCATCTGCACCGGAAGGCCCTCTCAAGATCGATGGCGTAACGAAAAACGGTTGCAATTTGAAATGGCGTCCACCGAAAGACGATGGCGGTTCCGAGATTCTCTACTATCAAGTGGAGAAGATGGATACGGAGAACATGAGATGGGTGCCCGTCGCGGAAGCTTCGTCCACGTATGCCCACGTGGATCACTTGATCGAGGGCCACGACTATCAATTCCGCGTGCGTGCGGTGAACAAACAAGGAGAATCCTTGCCGCTCACTGGCATGGACACGATTACAGCGAAGGATCCGTATGACAAGCCCGACAAACCTGGAACACCCGTCGCCACCGATTGGGATAAAGATCGCGTCGATTTGGAATGGACACCGCCCAAAAAGGACGGTGGATCGCCGATTACGGGATACATCATCGAAAAGAAGCCTCGTTTCGGTCAATGGGAGAAAGCTTTGGAGATCGATGGAGCTAAGACGAGCGCTAGAGTTCCCGATCTGGTCGAGGGTCAAGAATACGAGTTCAGAGTGATTGCCGTGAATAAAGCCGGTCCTGGCGAACCATCCGAAGCCTCTTCTCCAATCATCGCAAAACCACGTTTCCGTGAGTAATCAATTTTTCTCTCTCTCTTATTTTCATTCTCTTTTTTATTCATTTTAAATTATCTTAATTAATTACGATAACTTTTTTTTTTATACGCAGTTGCCCCATCTTTCGATCCACACGCGTTGAGCGATCTGGTTGTTCGTGCTGGACAGAAAATCAATTACATCATTCCTATTCAAGCATCGCCCAAACCTACTGCTACTTGGTCCCTCGATGGAGCCGTGATTATGGCCGATTCTCGTCACGAGATGTACACTACTAGTACCGAGACCACTTTCGAGATTCCATTCTCTGTACGATCCGATACTGGTCGATATACTCTGACTTTGGAAAACGAGCATGGAAAGTTCAGGTAATCATTACTCGTCCATACGTCGAATGTATGTGCAACGAGCGGGATAAATCAGTAGAGTGAATGTATTGTTTCAGTGCAAGCGCCAGAGTCACGGTCCTCGACAGACCATCGCCACCGCAGAAACCACTCGAAATCAGCAAGATCACCAAGGAAGGTTGTCACTTGGCTTGGGGCCATCCGTTGGACGATGGAGGCAGCCCCATATTACACTACGTTATCGAAAAGATGGATTTGTCGCGAGGAACTTGGTCCGATGCTGGAATGAGCATGATATTGAGTCACGAAGTGGCGAGGTTAACCCATCGAAAAGAATATCTTTTCCGGGTTAAAGCTGTCAACACGATCGGAGAATCTGATCCGCTCGAAGCGAGCAAGAGTATCGTTGCTAAGAATGAATTCGGTTGGTATTACACTCGTATTACACTAAACGAAATTAAAAATGTAATATCGCAATACTATCGATGGATTTATTATAAATACAATTCGTTCGGCTCTCAGACGAACCGGATGCTCCTGGAAAACCACAGATCACGGATTGGGACAGAGATCACGTCGACTTGCAATGGCCAGCTCCGAGCAGCGATGGTGGCTCTCCAATAACGGAATACATCGTTCAGAAGAAGGAGAAAGGTAGTCCGTACTGGGTGAACGCGATTCACGTACCTCCAAATCAGACGAACACGACTGTTCCCGATTTGACCGAAGGACAAGAATACGAATTCCGCGTGATTGCCGTAAACGCTGCTGGACAATCAGAACCCTCAGAGCCAAGCGATCTCGTCACTGCCAAACCACGTTACCGTGAGTAATATAATTTTACTTAATTCGTTGTTAGCGAGTCATGTTTCATCCAACCGTGCGATCTAATATTTCAGTGGCTCCAAAGATCAAGACACCTTTGCAAGATATTCGAGTCAAGGCTGGCCTTATCTTCCACGTGGATATCGACTTTATCGGTGAACCAACTCCGGAAGTCACTTGGACCGTTGGTAGCAAAGAATTGGAAAGTGACAAGAGAACGACCGTTACCTCGATAGGTTATCACACCATCGTCCACACCGTCAACGCCCAGAGATCCGATTCTGGACTGTATCACTTGTTATTGAAGAACAGCAGCGGAATAGACGAAGGTAGCTTCCAGGTGATCGTTCTCGATAGACCAGGTCCGCCGGAAGGTCCTCTACAATACGAAGAGATCACCAGTCAATCGGTCACTTTGTCCTGGAAACCACCTAAAGATAATGGCGGTAGCGAGATCACGTGAGTAAATAATTACGTAAGACGTAAATTGGTTATGAGAATGAGAAACGAAAAATAACATCGTTTATTTGTACAGTGGATATATAATAGAGAAACGTGATTTGACCCATGGTGGTGGTTGGGTTCCGGCAATAACGCACGTCAATCCTAAATATACCCACGCCACGGTACCGAGATTGCTCGAAGGTACGACTTACGAGTTCAGAATAAGCGCGGAAAATCTTCAGGGACGCTCGGATCCGCTCACCACTGACCACTCGATCGTCGCCAAGAACCAATTCGGTAAACTTTTTTACCATTTATCACGCGTAGTCGGGATTAAGAATCTTATATTATCATCGTTCATATATTATTTCATTATCAGTCGCACCTGGACAACCTGGCAAACCGGAATGCGTCGACGCGGACAAGGATCACATAAAGATCAAATGGACGGCGCCGATCAGCAACGGTGGATCGAAGATCATTGGCTACGACGTAGAGCGACGCGATCGTGCGACTGGTCGATGGTTGAAATTGACCAAGGAACCGGCCAAATATGCCGAATATTACGACGACCATGTGACCGAGGGCCATCAATACGAGTACCGAGTGACCGCGATAAATGCAGCTGGCTCGGGCAAACCTAGCGACACATCTGCCGTATTCATCGCGAAACCGATGAAAGAAAAACCGAAATTGAATCTGGACGCGTTAATTGGACGCAAGATCAAAGTCCGTGCCGGAGAACCTATTAACGTTAACATTCCATTGTCCGGTGCGCCAACTCCCACTATCGTATGGACGAAAGACGGAAAGCCTCTCTTCGAAACTCTCAGAATATCGGTGAGTTTGCGATTACCGATAATTTCAATTGTTTCAGCGATTAGTTTTAACTGTTTTTTTTTTTCGAATAACCTTCCAGACCGAAACCAAGAGCGATCGCACCAACTTGTTGGTTGAAAAATCCGTCCGGGAAGATGGCGGTATTTACACGATTACAGCAACGAACGAGCATGGAAAAGATTCCGCTGATATCGAGGTGATCGTGGTCGACAGACCGGGACCACCTCAAGGTCCGCTTCAATACACCGGCACCACGCAAGAATCCGTTTCGTTGTCCTGGAACCGACCTGTGGACGACGGTGGATCCGACATTACCAATTACATCGTCGAGGTATCCGACTATGGAACCGACAACTGGCGGCAAACGCCCGGATATTGTCCAAGAACGAGCTACACCGCCAAAGGTCTTACCGAAGGCAAGAAATACGTGTTCAGGGTGCGAGCCGAAAACATGTACGGTGTGTCGGAACCATTGGAAGGCAAACCGGTCATCGCCAAGAGCCCATACGATCCACCGGATGCTCCCAGCCAACCCGAAATTCTTGGATACACGCCCAATAGTTGCAGTCTTTTCTGGAATCCACCGCTCAATACCGGTGGCAAACCCATCACAGGTTTGATATTCCTTTTGTTTCGTAGAAATGCGTGCTTCAATGAATCAAACGTTGATATACCGATTCATCATCTAACCTCTATGCACACGCAGGATATTACGTGGAAAGACGGGAACGGGGTGGCGAATGGCTCAAAGTCAACAACTATCCTACTCCGAATACAACGTTCACGGTACAAGATCTTCACGAAGGATCTAAATACGAATTCCGTGTTATCGCTGTCAACGAAGCCGGACCTGGTAAACCCAGTAAACCAACAGAGCCTATTACCGCTGGACATCAGCGTCGTAAGTATAACATAGACACGTTACATTACAACATATATATATATATATATATATATATATATATATTACTTCTA